GGGCCCCCCAGGGGGGCCCCCGGAGGGCCCCCCGGGGGGCCCCCTGGGGGCCCCCCTGTTTCTATGCAACAGCAGGAGAGGTAATGGAGGCTGTTGTGGGGCGGGCGCAGCAGCAGCTGCTGCTGCTGTTTGGGCGTGCTGCTGCAGCAGGAGCTGCTGTGTGTCTGCCGCAGATTGAAGAGATGGTGGGCACTGCAGCAGCAGCAGCAGCAGCAGCAGGGGAGGGGAGAGCAGCAGTGCAGCGGGACTTGGCGCAAATGCTGGAGGTGGCAATTCAGGTGTACGTACACTCCATGGGGGTGTCTCTTATCTGCAGCAGCAGCTGCAGCCCGCAGCAGCTGCCCCACAACGTGGCCAAGTCTTTTGACACTATAATCCGCCTAAAACCCAGCAGCAGCAGCAGCAGCAGCAGCAAGTGGGACTGCGCTGCAGCGTGAGGGCCTTTTGGCGTTGGGGTGTACCGACACCTCAGGGGCCCCGCAGGGACGCCACCGCTTTTGAAGCAGCAGCAGCAGCAGCAGCAGCAGATGCTGGAGCAGCAGCAGATGCTGCAGCAGCAGCAGCAGATGCTGCAGCAGCAGCAGCAGATGCTGCAGCAGCAGCAGTAGATGCCGCAGCAGCAGCAGATGCTGCAGCAGCAGCAGCAGATGCTGCAGCAGCAGCAGCAGATGCTGCAGCAGCAGCAGATGCTGCAGTAGCAGCAGATGCTGCTGCAGCAGCTGTTGCTGCAGCTGCTGCTGTTGCTGCAGCAGCGGGAGGGAGGCCTTTGGGCTGCGGCACCTTAGAACGGGGAAAACAGAAAAAGACAAAACGAGCAGCAAAAGGAGATGAAAAGAAAATAAAAATAAATTAAAAATAAATTAAAAATAAAATAAAAACTAAAAAAAGAAAACAAAAGAAAACAAAAGAAGAAGGACGAAATTGAAGAAAAGGGTCAAAAGAATATTCAGCAAAAACGCCAAGTGAAGGCAAAGTGAACTGCTGCTGCTGCTGCTGCTGTAGCTGCTGCTGCTGCTGCTGCTGTGGCTGCTGCTGCTGCTGCAGCTGCTGG